GTCGAGGCAGTGCTTGTCCCGGGACAGGATACGGATGCTCTCCAAGCAGGTGACCTGGCAGGACGGCTGCAGCTCCCTCTCCAGGAACTTAATCAGCAGCTGGGCCATTTTCTGTACAGTTGGAAACAAGCAATGCCTGGGATACCGACACTTCCCAGTGCTCTCTCCGACCCTGTCATGCTCTGCCCTGGACAATGGGAGCATCACCTGGAGGTGGGTCTGCTCAGGTGTGCGCTCAGCAGCACTCAGGAAGTGCCTGGCTCTGGCACTGGATCCTGGACCAGTTTGGGCAAGAACAACCAGCAACAAATGGCTGGGAGAGGGTACTGGGTGTAAAGGGAGAACACAAACAGGTCACTGTTGTAGCTTTGCCCTGGTGAGGATGGTTCAGGCTGAGAGGGTTTGCCTGACCACTACACTGAGGGCAAAAACCTCCCTCAGTCCTTCACCTCAGGTCTTCCCTTAGGAGTCACCACGCACTTGGCAGCAGCCCTCTGCTCCTCTGTAAGATCAGGGAGGCACCTGATCCAGAGGATCCACAAACAAGACTGGAGAAGTAGAGAGAGGCATCAGAGAACCACCAAGGGAGGGCCACAGGACCCAAGGGAGGTGAGCAGAGCATGTGATGCCCTGGTAAAAGCAGGTGAAGAGACCTCAGGAGATTCAAATAAGCAGCATCTCCTTAACCCCAGTGCTGCCTGGAGACCTACTGGCCCAGATCCTCTGTGGGTACAGACTGGCAGAGCCCCACTAACACAATTCACAGGAGCTGCAGAGTTAATCCTCGCAGGGAATGGTGAGTAACGGAGGAGCCCAGGTAAGGCCTCACAGCCACGGGCAGCTCAGGTTCAGCCATACGTTGTAACACTTCGCATCACACCCACGCACAGCTGGGTGAGGTGAGAGCTCACCAGACCTCTAACACAACATGTCTGAAACCACAGATCTCTCCATGACGTTACAAGAGCAAGAGAACCCAAAAAGGAGGTTTGCAATGGGTTAAATGCAGCCCCACCAGTTACACTTCAGAATAATCACAGAATCATTAAGGTTGCAATAATTAATCATAATCACTGAGGTTGGAAAAGACCTCCAAGACCATCGAGACCAACCTGTGTCACATCCCCACTTTGTCACCCACACCAGAGCACTGACTGCCACGTCTAGTTGTTCCTTGGACACCTCCAGGGATGGGGATTCCACCACGTCCCTGGTCAGCCGCTACAAGTGCCTGATAACCCTTCCCATGAGGAAATTCCTCCTGATGTCCAACTTGAACCTCCCCTGGCAAAATGAAACTACTGAAGAAAGGAATGAAGAAAAAAGGAACTTCAGCCCTTAATGTGAGGCTCCTGGAGTGCCCCACAGTCACACCCCGGGGAAGTGAGAAAATACAGCTGTTTCTCTGCTCCCTCCAGACAGGAGGCAGAGACAGAGCTTCAGATCCAGACACAGTGACCAAAGCCTTGGGCTGGCTCAGGGGAAAGAGACCCCAGGGCTGAACCATCAGGACACGTGAGCACCAGGAACTGGTGGTGATGCTCAACTCGTGTTTCATGGCATACACCCCCACAGCAGGACACTGCCTGGATCCTTGTCTGGCAGCAAAGAGCTCGGATCTCATCAGATCCAATCCCACACTTCAGGCTGTGCCTGGGCACGCTCCGTGTGGCAGCAGCTGGCACTGGCTCAGCCAAAGGAGGTCCTGTTCTCCGCCCAGGTCGCCTGGCCTGCACTTGCTGTGCTAACACAGGCATTGGCACCATCCGCCAGTGAACTGACCACACAACTGAGCCAGCTGGAAAATAATCCTGGAAACCCAGAGTCGTTCTTGCATCAGAGCAGCCAGGACAAGGCCGGCCCGGCACGAAGAGCTGCAGGAGCAGGAAAAGCAGTTCCCTCCCTCCGAGTGCCATATCACGCCAGCTTAGAGGATCTGCTAATACACAGCTCCAGGCAAACCCCACTGCTGGCTCCCAGTGGGACCCCTCACCCTTCCTGGGAGCCTGGGGATCACACCCATTACACCCATGGCTGGGACTGCATGGATCACGGGACCTCTGCTAATGCCAGATGGATGCTGACTTTTATCCAAAACACCAACTATTGCTGGAAAAAACAGAGCCAGATGCTCTGAGCACATCATTCCCTGCCCAAGTTAATGGAAACCCCTCATTTTTTTCCCTGTGGGAGCTGCCTGTCAAGCCCAGTTGGACACAAGTACGGAGCAGCAGATTTACACACCAACCAAAGAGGAAAAGTAAGGAGCACGTGCCTACCTTCCTCTCCTCCCGCTCCTCATCCTCAAAGATGAAGCACTGAGACTTCTGTGGAAAAAAACAAAACAAATCAGAACAAGGAATAGGTTAAAACTCCACAGAACCAGGGTAGAGTCATTCTGCTTGAAAGCAGCAGGTCCAAAACTTGCTGCAACAGCAAACACACCTTCTCCCAACAGTCCCTCCCACGATGGGCACTATCCCCGGATCCATGGCTCGGGCAGAGTGCCACGGGTCAGCTGATGGGTGGATTTAAACTAAATACTGCAGCAGCACAGTGGATACTCCTCTCAATCCCAATATCCCCTATGAGCCGGTAATTCCTCAGCTCAGTGACACCACCAAGCTGATGCTGCACACATCTCCCCTTGATATTTATTTGCTTCTTTTCCCCACCAAAAGAAGTGCTGTCTCCTTGGTACGTGGGAATAGATCTTCATGGTTATCCAGGTCAAGTTCTTTAAACACAAGGGACCTGATCTCCACAGCCCTGCTCCGTCCCCTTCCTAACAAACATTCCTGCTCTCGATTAATGGGAAACATTTCTGTTTCTCTCTCTCTTTTGGTTGTTCTTCACTGATAGTCTCCCTCCTGGCTACACCTGCTCCCATGGAACCAGAGAGCACAGGAGACCACAGGTTCCTGGGGAGAAGCAGCACTTCCCAGAGAATGAGGCAATCCTTGTTTACACCAAGAGAACCTTTGGTCCAAGCATGGAGAACAAAACTGTTAAAAATCCATAAAACACTGGTGATGTGTGTGCAGTCACCAGGAGCCCAGGGATGGTGTTGATTTGTCCAGCCTGGAAGCAGCGATGGACACAGCGATGCCCCAGGAGCAGCAGCCGCAGGGGTGGGGGCAGGACAGGTGTATTCCCATCACGCTGTGTGAGCTCCACGACCTGATCCATCCACAGGCTGTTGGATCACGTTTCCACTCCCAGCACCGCTGCGCTCTGCAGACAGCCATGCTCGTTCTTCCCCTAGCACATCCTCTCTGCAGGCTCTAATCCCATTTAGGGGTAATTTGACCATACCTGGGGTTTTGCTTTAGCTGCAGTTTATCCCCGGCAACCAAAAACTGCGTGTCCAACAGTGAATTAAAATAAATCCCCGGGAAAGGTTACAGAACCTTCAGTCTTGCAGCAAAAGCGATGCCAGGCCATGCCGGCTTTATCTGCAGTTTCATAATCCTCTTTGACTGCTCCATTTCCTTCAGACGGGCCAGCAAACCCTCTGGCTCGAGTTCCATATGCCTGATACACCGGGAAGGACCCAGCTGGGGGGATCGATGGGAAATGCCGTGGTTTGGGGCCTTGAGTTGGTCACACAGACGCTGTTTGCACCCTGATGACTCTGGTGTGGCACCTGCTGCGGGTACTGCTAATCCTCAGCCCTGTCCTTAGCAGGGATCTGCTCCTCCTTGGCCAAGATCTCCCCATTCCAAATGCGGCTGCTACGAATAGTTCCACACTCCCTCTCTCACACATGCTCCCGCAAAACATTCCTCAGGTTTTCCCTGCTGGCTTCCCACCTACTCCAGCCTGGTGCAGAGTGAGTCACAGCGATCCGCAGGGCCAGCCCCTCCTGGGGGAACCCTCCAAAGGAAATTTCCCTGACAACCAGAGTCTGTTTCAAGTGGGATTTCACGGAATCACAGAGTCTCCTCAGTTGGAAGGGACACACAAGGATCACTCAGTCCCACTCCTCGCCCTGCTCAGCCCCAGCAATCCCACCATAAGCTCTATCAGCCTTGGGGCTGTGACTACTGCCTTGGGGAGCCTGTTGAGTGCCCAACCACCCTCTGGGGGAAGAACCTTTTCCTGATTATCTGTCCTAAACCTCCCCTGACACAGCTTCAGCCGTTCACTCGGGTCCTGTCACTGGTCACAGCAAGCAGAGATCGGTGGTGCCCCTTAGAAGGAAGCTGTAAACAGCCAAGGTCTACCCTCAGTCTCCTCTTTTCCAGGCAGAAATTTACTCCCACAGATAATCTTTTCCCACTTTAAGGTTAGAAACACTCCCAGCTCTGCTTCCAAATCATCGTGTTTTGATATTCAGAGCCGTGCAGTCCCCTCTAATCATCTTTGACTTGCAAATCCTGACATCGTTTCACCTGCAGCTCCTCCCTGGCCTGTTTCATCACCCCCAAACCTGCCTCAACATAAAGGCTCCTCCTACTCGGTCCTTACACTGACTCCTATTTCCCTGCCAGGCTTTACTTGGCATCTCGATAATAATTTTTTTAAGAGTCCCTGACAGCAGGGAGGGGTCGATGCTCACTCACCTCCTGGTTGTAGACCTGGAGCACCTTGAGAACTGTGTCCTGCTCCCCGCTTTCCAGCGTGGTGACCACAGCCCTGAGCTCCATTATCCCAGCAGCTCAGCTACGGCAGAACCAGGAGCAAGGGGAGCGAGGGGACTTCCAGGGTGATGCAAAAGCACCTCGGCAGACAGACAGCTGAGAGGGAAGAGAGAAAGGGGTGGGGAGAGGAAAAAACACAACACAAAAAAAACCCCAGAGTGATATTGCTCACACTGCTGCATCCATAAGCAGATGAATAACCCGAGCAAAGCCAGCACCAGCTTCCTCTCTCTCCCGTTAATCTTCTTCTTCCTCGCTCTGCTTTTCAATGTTTAATACGTGCCCTCCCAGGAAAGCGCTCAGGGAAAACCTTCCCCCCCACCAGCCAGGGATTAACGCGGAGCAGATAACAGCAGCTCCCTGAAATAGCTCCCTGCCTCCTCCTCCTCCTCCCCGGTTGCCCTGATTCCTGCTGCCGCACAGGGGGGAAAATAACAAATAAACTCAGCAACATCCTCGTGGAGTGAGAAAGGATGGAGCGGCGAGGCAGCCGGGCAGGAGAGTATCCTCTGGCTCCAGGCGGAGGTACCTTTGCAGGAGGTGGGAAGCAGATGAGGAGGGTTCCGTGGAGGGTCGGATTATGGCCGATCCCCGCACGCACAGGCCAAACGCGCGTCCGGAGCCGCCGTCCCCCGGGAGATGATGTCCCTGCCGCCAGTGCCAGGGAGCAGATGCGCAAGGACACGGGAGACGGGATTATTTCAGTCACGGCACCGGTTTAACTGCTCAGGGAGCCACGCGAGCCCACGGTGCTGGGACACGACTCCCGATGGGGGAAAATCCGGCAGATTTGGGTGCACAGGTGGGCTTGGATACCTGTTCAGGCTCCGTGTTGCCATGGGCCGTGTTTTGCGATGAGGCCGCGCTGGTCACACCGAATTCAACCACCCGGGAGCTTTGAGGATCACACGGGGTATCCCCACCCGCCCGTGCTCCCAAAGAGGGGCGTTTTGGGGGGACCAAGGGCAAATCCCGCATTGTGGAAGGCGGAAAGCCGCGGGGACAGGTGGCTGGGTTGGCCCGGGGCAGGGATACAGCATCCCCGTGCCAAGGGGCTGGGATGGAGGGGACCTGCTCCGCTTTCGGGGGGATGGCATGAGCCAGTGGACCACTGCACATATACCCCTGTTCCACACCTCGGCTGGCTCCTCCCACCGCCACCTCCTTCCCCCGACATCTGGGCACATTCCAACCCCCCTTTTTTTTTTTTGTCCACAAACCCCTGTTTTTGCCCCAAGCCCCTATTTTCTCTCCCACGCCCCCGTTTCGCCCCCGTGTCTGGACAGGCTCCGGCCGTACCTGCGGCCGGGGATCCCTCGGGGGGCAGCGCCGACCCTTCCGCCCCGGCCCGGGCGAGCGGCCCGAGGGTCCCGGTGCCGGGGAAGGAGAAGGAGAAGGAGGAGGAGGAAGGACCGGCGGACATTTCGCGGCGGCTCCGCCCGGGGAGGCGGGACGGGCCGGGGCGGCCATGGCGGAGCGGGGCCGAGGTGAGGGGACAGGGACAGGTTTGGGGGACTGGAGGGGGCCGAGGGAGGGCGAGCGCCCGGCTGCACAACTGCTCCCCGACCCCGCTGCACCCCACGGGACCTCCCGCAGTCCCCCGATTTACCCCCCTCGAACGCCTAATTGACCTCCCTTGAGCCCCTAAATGCCGTCCCTTGAACCCTTAAATACACCCCCGAACACGTAATTGCCCCATACACCCCCCCGTAACGGAACCCTTGAATCCCTAACTGGCCCCCCTCCCCGAACCCCTAACTTCCCCCCTTGAATCGGTAACTACCCTCCCCTTGAACCCCTTATTGCCCCCCTCTCCGCATCCCTGACTGCTCCTCCGGGGCCCTTCTGGGATCCTCAGCTGCCCCTCGAACCCCTAATTGCCCCCTTGGACCCCTAGTTCCCATCCCGACCCCTAGCTGCCCCCCAACAGGCAGCAATGCCAGGAGACCCCAACATGGATGAGGGGTTAAGAGCCCTGGATTTGCTCTGCTTCACCCAGATCTCATCCCTGGATATCGCTGGGCACAAAGCCCTCCAAGCTGCTGCTGGGCCATGGTGGCAATTCAGGGGGCAAGTCAGGGAAAGTTTGGGGCGGTTTTGTCCAAACCAACTTGGGAGGGTTCCAGAGGTGCGAGGAGGGGCTGTGACAGGTGGAGATCCCTCGGGCAGCTACACACCTGTGCTGTGCCAGGGCAGGTACAACGTGTCCTCCTCCTCCTTATCTCCCAGGGCAGAGTCCGAGCGCCATGGATGACCTGCTGGATGTGGAGAACAAGCGGATGACCGACAGCCTGGCCAGCAAGGTCACCAGGCTGAAATCTGTGAGTGCCGAGGGTGTGGGGAAGGAGGGCCTCTGCTTACCTGGGGGTGCTGCAGGGGATCACAGAACCATGGAATGGTTTGGGCAGGAAGAGGCCTTAAAGCCCATCGAGTCCCACGCCCTGCTGTGGGCAGGAACACCTTCCACTAGCCCAGGTTGCTCCAACTTGGATTTGAACACTTCCAGGGATGGGCCAGCCGCAGCTTCTCTGGGCAACTCGTGCCAGTGCCCCAGCACCCTCACCTATGCTCTGCAGAGGCTTCTTGTGCATTAAAAACTCTCAGGTGGTGATACAGTGGTCTAATTTTCACTTGTGCCAAGGACACCTTTACAAATTCCCTTCGAGGTTTACAACATCATCTGACAGGAATGATGTGCTCGTGCCACTCAGCAAAGGATTTTTAGGCACAGAGAGAAACGTCAAAAAACATAAAACATACAAAACATAAACACCTCTGCACAGGTGAGGTGTTGCCAAGCTCACCTCCTCGGGAAAAAATTCGCAATAAAAAGGCAGGTAGATTAATTTTGGAAAATACCTGTGTTTCTATGCAAGTGATCTTAAAACTGGTTTGCTCTTAATATCAAATACTTCGATTTAGAGATTTGAGCTCTATTTTTTATTATTATAATTATTCTAACAATTATTGTCATATTATTATAAAATTGTTGCAATGATTATAACGTTATTATAAATTACTATTTAAAAAATAGTAGAAACCATGAAAGAAGTTGGCGACTCACCACATAGAAGGGCAGACTCTGAATTCCTGCCTTTGTGTCCCAGGGTTTACTTTCAGCGCTGCAGAACTGGAAAAGTTCAACAAGCCTCCAGGGAAATGAGAATCATTTTCCTTGTCCCTGTCCCAGACAAGCCCCTGTGTGTCTACAGGAGCCAGGAAAGCAGCACGTTGCTCTGCTAACTCTCATTTTAGTAGTTCTCCGTACATGACAAGCTCTGAATTCCCGTTCCCTCCCTTGTCCTGTAGCTGGCTCTGGATATCGACAAGGACACTGAGGAACAGAACCGCTACCTGGATGGCATGGTAAGGACCTGGCACCTGAAGGGCTGATGTGGGACAGCACACCTTGGAAATGCTAATGGAGATCCCTCCTTGCTGGGATTAAAGCTGCCTCTGGGCTGTTCCTCAGCTCTCCCTTGGTGTATGAACCAGAACTGCAACACCTCAGGCAGGCTCCCTGTGGGGCCTTGTGGGACACTGATGTCTTCAGAGGGAGCACAGGTGATGCTCTGGGTCCCACAGGCTGTTGAGTGCCCCGGTCTGCCACACAGCTCCCAGCAAATCAGGGAGTCGAGATAAAAGGTGGGATGGCAAAAGCCCTTAAGGGAGAAGCCCTAAATCGGCACCAAACCACGCTGCTCTTACAGAGTTTGTGGCATTTCAGGAGCAATGTGAGCAGAAGCTCCAGGAAGGAGCACGGTGGGAACGGTGCTGATCCCAGAGCACTGGAAAGGAAGGACCTTGAGGGAGACAGGTGGCTGCTGTGCAGCTTCTGTGCCAATGTTTTTAGCCAGGAGGTGGGAGATTCCTCAAGGATTCCTTCATCTGTGGCACAGCAGGATGAGCTTGATCCTAGGACCCGAGGGAATGGCTGGAGTTGTATTAGGTTGGGTCTTAGGGTAAGCTTCTTCCCCCAGAGGGTGGCTGGGCACTGGAACAGGCAGTGGTTGTAGCCACAAACCTGCCAGAGCTCAGGGACGTGGTTGGGTCGTTGAGGTGTCCTGTGCAGGGCCAGGAGTCGGACTGGATAACCCCTGTGGAATCCCTCCAACTCGGGGGTGTTCCACATCTCTATGATGCCTCCACCTTGGCTGTCTGTGCCCTCCACAGGACTCGGATTTCCTGAGTGTGACGGGGCTGCTGACGGGCAGCGTGAAGCGCTTCTCCACCATGGCGCGCTCCGGGCGGGACAACCGCCGCCTGCTCTGCGCCGTGTCCGTGGCCCTCGTCCTCATCTTCTTCATCCTCTACTACCTGGTGTCCAGGGCAGGCACCTGAGCCGGGCAGCCGCAGGCCTGTCCACGCCTTCCTGGGAGGAGCCTCCGGCCAGACCTCCTCCTTCCAAGTGACTCTTCCTCCCACCAGCTGCTCGCGTTGCCCCGGCTGGGCCCAGACAGCTCTTTCAGAGCAAGAACATTTCTCTCCAAAGGGATCTCCGTGCCTAACAGGATTTTGGGGCTGTGACCTCCTGCCTCGTTCGTGTGCTGCAGGCTGTTCTCAGGGGCCACTTCCCTGTCACCTCCTCACCGAGCCTGAGAACTGCTGAGATGGGGCTGACACATCCAGGGACTTGTTCATGCTCCGAGGTTTTATAAGCCATCTGGACTTCAGGAGCTGTAGGGTCTAGGATGCTGATTTGCGGGGTTTGGGAGTGCTGGTGTGTGACTTCACATTCCATGTGGCTGCTCTCAGTTTCCCTGGGACTTGCAGAACTTGGTGTCCCTGGGCTGAAAGGAAACCTGTGCTGCTCCGAGATGGAATTAGCGGTGGACCTGGGCATGGATACTCTCAGACTGCTGCAGGGAAGAGCTGCAGAGGAGCAGAACTTTTGATTAAATCCTGGCTTGGCCCTCTTAATCTTCCTTGGTCCAGTTAATTTTGGTGGTTGTGGCGCCCTGGTTTTGGAGCACTCTGAGAAGATGCTGCGTCAGTGAAGCAGAGGTTGAGGTGAGGTGGAATTCCCCCCCAGTGGGAGTCCAGGAGGGGTTTGCTGATTTGTTTTCTGAATTTAGAAGGTACCAGAGGAACCCCTGCCTTGCCTTTGGGGGTGTCTCTGCTTATTTGCCTCTCTCTCCTTGTAACGACCAGGGCCCAGCCATTCTTCCTCCTCGGATTTAGTCTCTCTTCTGCCTCATTGTAGATGGCTGGGCGTTCCTTTTGCCTTCTCTCTACTCCCATCGGGAATTCCCTTGTCCTGGAGCTAAGGCACCTGCGAAAGGAACGTTGTCCCTTGTACTCACAATTTGATCACAAAACATACCCTGGCTGGATTAAGTGGGTTCTTTTCCACATTCGGGAAAAATCCTGCAGGGAAAGCAAGGAGAAAGGAGGCAGCAGGGACTTCCTCTGGTCCTTCCCGCTTCCCTGGGGCGGTGTGGCAGCTCCAGACTCCTTCCCTTCGGGAAGAATAGATAGCATCTGATTCCTGGAGCAGGTGACTCCTGACAAAAGGCTGCTGGCGCAGCCTGGGGCAGTTTGCTTTTTGCCTTTCCTGCTGTAAATAAAGCTGATTTTAGACCTTCTAGTCTGAATGTTTGTTCCTCGTACAAGGTTGATTCCCCTGTCTGTACCTGGGCCGCCCCGAAGCTGGAGAGGGACCCGCCGGGGAGGGGGAGGGTCCCGTAGCCCTGTGACACGCCCGGTTTCACGGGGAAATGAGGGTGGGGGTGCACAGCCACTGCATCTGTCCGCAGGCCTCCCCGGTGACCCCAGACTTGCCCGCGGGGGACACGGGCCAGGGGTGGGGGTGCCACTGGCGTCTCCATCCGTATGTCCGTCCCCAGGGGGGTCCTTGTCCCCGGAGCGCCACAGGTCCCGGGAACGGGGCCTTTGCCGGAAGTCCCGCCGTGTCCAGGCCGCGCCCCCGTCGCCATGGCAACCGCCCGCCGCGCCGGAAGTGACAAAACGCAGAGGCCGGAAGCGGCGGCCGGGGCGGAAGTGATGGCCGCGGTGGCGGCGGGGGACGGGGCCGGGAGCGGCGCCGGGGGCAGCCCCGAGGCCCCCGCCGGCGGCACCGGGGGCAGCGGATGGCGGCGTCCCCACGGGCCACTCCAGCGGTACTACGGCCCGTCTGCGGCAGAGGCGGCCCCGGACCCCACCGACATCAACGGGCCCCACTTCGACCCGGAGGTGTTCATGACCAAGGTGACCTTTGACCCCCGTAAACTTTGAGCCCCCAACCCTCCCGGACCCGGGGACCCCCGCCCGATGGACTCCCCCAGCGCCCTGAGGGGACCCCAGAAAGATCCTCTATGGGGACCCTATGGACACTGTATGACTCCCTATAAAAATGGTACTGGGGTGCTCTGGAGCAGCAAGGGGGGGGTCGGCTCCTAGGGGGCAGCTGGGGATCTCAGGAGGGCCCTGCAGGGAAGTTGAGGACCTCAGGGTGGCAATTCGGGGGTTCTTGGGGGTAAATGGGGATTGCAGAGAAGACAGCGGGGTGTGGGGCAGTTGTGCAGCTGTTGCCCCCCACCCCCAGGTGCGTAGCGAGTGTCCCCTGGGGCAGCTCCTGGCCCGGGAGGCTGCGCTGGGGCGGGAGATCCGCGCCCTGGACAGCGACATGCAGACCCTGCTCTACGAGAACTACAACAAGTTCATCTCTGCCACCGGTGAGAGGCTAACTCTAGACCCTGCTGAGGACAGTGCTGGGATATTGGGGTCTGGGGGTGTTCTCTCTGGAACCTGCTGCTGGCAGGGCTGGGAAATGAGGATCTGGGGGCATTCACTCTCCTGGCAGCCACCCTGGTACCCAGCCTACTCCGGGGGGGTGACGGCTGGGGTACGTTCATCCCAGAGGGTCTGGGGGCAGGCAGCCAAGGGACCCAGCACTTGTCTCCTGCCCCCCATCCCAGACACCATCCGGAAGATGAAGGTGGATTTCCGGCACATGGAAGCGGAGATGGACGACCTGGCGGCCAACATGGCAGCCATCAGCGCCTCGAGCGCCCGCGTCAGCGCCGCGCTGCAGGACCGGCACCGCCGCGGGGCCCAGCTGGCCGGTACGGGGCTGGGGGGCGGGTGGCCCCCAGGGGGCAGGCCCGGCCCTCCTGGCCCCATCTCCCCGAGCCCCATGTCTCCCCAGGGGTGCAGGCACTGCTGCGGAAGCTGCAGGCACTGGTGGAGGTACCGGGGCGGCTGCGGTGCTGGGCGGGCACGGAGCCAGCACGGGCCCTGCGCTGCTACAGCCGTGCCCGCGCCGTGCTCCGGCACTACCGGCACCTGCCCTCCTTCCGTGCCATCGAGGACGAGAGCCACGCCATCATGGCAGAGCTGGCCCAGCGCCTCCGCACACGCCTCCGGTATGTCCACTTGGGAGCCTGCTGAGGGCTGGGAACGGGGTTCTGAGGGTGTTCACTCTCAGCCTACTGATGGCAGCCCTGGGAAATGGAGCCTCCTGGTGGTCTTTAGGGAGTCCCTTATTAACCTCTGTTGCTGTTGGAACTTCCTGGTGCTGTTATTTCCCCCTTTGTCTTTTGACCAACTTCTGTTCACTCTGGGGCCTAACGATGACTTTTATCACTTATTACCTGTTTCCGACCCTTAACCCCGGAACCTCCCACACCCACCTGCCCGCCCCAGGGAGGAGACGCTGGACCCCAAGGAACTCACCGAGTGCGTGGAGATGCTGCTGCAGCTGGAGGAGCCTCCCGAGGAGCTGAGTGAGGAGTTCCTGAGCCAGGCGGGCGCCCGCCTGGAGGCTGAGCTGGCCACGCTGGAGGCTGAGCTGCCCGCCTCTGACCCCTCTGGTGCCGCCGCCACACCACCGCCCGCCTCCGACATCCTGGACTTCGTGGATCGCGGCAGCTCAGCCTTTGTGGGCACACTGTGCCAGCTGGCCGGCTCGTACCGCACGCTCTTTGGGGGGGACACGGGGCGCCTGGAGCCCTTCGCCTCCGCCCTGGCTACACGCTACTTCGGGCTGCTGGAGCGGCGGCTGGCGCTGGAGCGTGGCCTGGGTGACACCTCGCTGCTGGTGCGGGCGCTGGACCGGTTCCACCGCCGGCTGCGGGCACTGCTGGAGCTGCTGCCTGAGGGCGCCGCTGCCGCCGCCGCGCTGGTGGCCCGGGCCGCCCGCGAGCGCGTTGACCGGTACCTGCGTGCCTTGCAGACCTTCTTCCTGGGCTGCCTGGGCGATGTGCGCCAGGCGCTGGCAGCGCCGCGGCCCCCCGGCAAGGAGGGGCCCGGCCTGCCTGACCTGCTGGCCACGCTGGCTGCCTCCGTGCTGGGCCAGCTCAAGG